CTATTCAGATAAGTCCCAAATAAGTATGCAAGGTTTAGGTTGCTTATCTGCAGCAAACCAAACCACTAAAGCTTTTGAAGCCAGTCCATTGTTGTATATAAAACGAAACTGCTTGTTACCTACTAGCAACCTGATAAAGTCCCACTCATTCTCTAGATCTAGATGTAGGTCTTTATCTAAACAGTAAATGCAAACAAAATAGCTAAATCAGTTGCAATTTGCACCGTTAGCTATTTCAAGTCAATTCAGCAAATGCCATACATATTTAAGATTAAAACACCCAAGTTTAAAATAATATTATATAATGTATGATGTGTTTGTTTGTAATAGAGCATTCTTATTCTATTCAAAGACCAGATCTGGAAAAAAACACTTAATGTATGAACTGTAATCAATTTAGTTATGCTTGTTATATTTACCACACAGACAAGCCAATAGTCAATAAGCTACCTGGCATCTCACTCTGTGTATGGCTTTTTAATGAATGCTTTTCCCTCACTTTCCCCAGCGACACATGACAATATAATCAAAAAGGCAAAATTGGCTGGAAAAGACAAGCTCAAAGTACTAATACTTAGGCAGTATCTTCAGAAGTTCATTAAAAACAAGCCTTTATTATTCAACTTGACATTGCCTAACAAGATTCCAGCAGGATTTTTTGCTTCTTTTCAGCTAATGGGAATTTTATAGACAAGTCATTTCCTACAGTCCCAAGAGAAAGCAAGAGAGTGACATACTACAGATTGGCTCTTTGTCCCCGTTTTCTACATCATCTTTCTTCTCCTATTTTTCTTTCTTTCCCTCCTCCTACGAGGTAAAAAGTAACCTTTCTGTTGGCATGAAAAATAAACATCAGCAAAAAGAAAGCAAAGTAGGAAGACATGTTCTATTTAATTTTTGATAAATTATTCCTCAGGGAAAAGCACAGGCAAACTAATGCAGAAATACCAGATCAGGCCAAAAAGCCCTTGCAAATTCAGCCATATTTCACTAACAATAAACTTGTTGACTGAGTTTAAACAAACTGCAAATTCCATACATAGATATATTTAAATATATCTTCATATATGAAAAATGCCGCAGTCAGTAGCAAACTAAAATTCTAAGGAGAGACAAATCTGCAGATACTGAGAATCTAGTGTTCCACTTCTGGTTTGTATTTATCAGTTCATTTGCATAAAACATTCTTAAAGGCTTATTGGCCTCTTTTGTTTATATCTTAGTTGAGTGAAATGCACACAAAGAAGCTAGACAAAATGCTCTGAATTGTTTCAGTCCTGCACTAATAGTGCAAATCCAGCTGCTTCTGCCATAGCCACCAGGGGTGCATCCAAACATGCGTACTCATGTGTTTCTCCAAGGACAAATAAAAGCAGCACATAGTTGTGCCACTGCTACTTGTCTCTAGGGAATGCCCATGCATGCGTGCTCTGGCACGTGGCAAGTTACCCCAGGTGAGGTAGGGGAGCCTGGGGTCAGCACCTAGGCTGGCCCCACCAGCCTTACCTGGGGTCTTGGAGGCTTCCCAGGGCTCCCAAGGCAGAAACCCAGTGCACAGAGCTCAGTGTAGAAAAACTGTATCCATATAGGAAGTTATCATGGAACTAACATATACAGCTAGTATACTGTATATTCACATTTTAGATTCCTATCCATTAACTTCCCTGAATAAACGCACCCTTGTAGCTACAATTAGAACCTGGCTTAAATCCCAAAATGTATGTTTTAATGTCACTTCAAAAAAACACAATTAATTATAGTAACTGAATATTTCATATTCAGGAAGACCAGAATTCTTGCCTGTGCTATTCCATAGCACAATATTTCATTTTTAAATGTATCAGTGAAGCATGTTTAATAAACACTAAAGTCATTAATAAAACAATTTTAAAATTAGCATCCAGTATTTAACAAAAACAAAAAAAGATCAAATTGCATATGGAAAAAGAAAAAGAGAGCATGGGACAACTTAGAACAAAATAAAACATGCCCATAGCAACAAATGCCTTTATATCTTATCTCTGGCCAGTGATTATATCTTTGCCTATCTATAGAAGTTGCATATTACTAGGAACATGGAAGCATTAGTAGGATTATGGCTCACAGTGATAATAAGCATGATTTAACCACCTCTGATCCAGTAACAAAACTTATTCAGAAAATAAATAATTTGTCATTAGAGATGGAGAGTGCCCCAAATTAAAATGACATGTCTCAGTCCATCTAAATACAAAAAGCTGTCCAATCCATTTTTATAAACATCACTTACAAAAAGGACATATTGAACAAAGGTTTATTATTTCAGAGTATAAAGTTTTTAGAATATCTTTGCCAGACCAGATCTATAAGAAGTATGACATCCCATCCCCCAGTTTAGCAATATACCTGTGTCTGTGTCAAATTAAAAACCCATCTTCAGTTTCGTCAAAATCATTGGGGTTCCTCATGTTTATTTGTATTTGCATTTTTAACTGCAATGCTTAAGCTCCCCAGCCCTTAACCAGGCCTCTATTACACAGGCCAGTTACAGACATTACACTTTTACCAGTATAAATGATCAGAAACCAGTCTATAATTGTAACAAAACATAAATTTGGTGCACCCAATGTGTGTTCTGTTCACTACAGGTCTAAACTACACCACTTACAGAAAACAGCATACCTTAGATTGGTTCTGCCTTGGCTTTTTAAATGTCTGTACCTAGCCTAAGTGCTATACAAACACAGAACATAAAAGATAGCTGCCCCAAAGAGTTTCCAACCGAAGTACTCAAAAGCTTAAAGTACAGCACAAGTTTAAGATATTAATTATGAATCTAGATCATTGAATTATTACTTGAATAAAACTTGGTTGAAGTTTTACAGATAACATATTGCTTTTTTAATTTTAGAAGCTTTTACCTGCTACTCATTTTCTTTCCAATCACAAAGGCTGTTTTTCAATTCCATTTGTTTTAGAGGTGCTCCAATACATTGGTCTGGTATCGGATCAGCACCGATATAAAGAAAATTGGCTGTATCGGAAGTCAGCCTGATGTGGCCAATAATGTGGCCAATAAATGGCCCATGCATGCATGCAGCCACAGTACAGCACATAGGTGGTGAGGAGCACAGGCCAGCAGCTTGGAGAGCTGCGTGCAGCTGGTAAGTCTGTTGCGGTGGATGGGGAGAGGGGCATGGGGGGGCAGATCAAGACCCCACAGTGAGGGAGGGAAAGACTGCAGCAAGACTTGGATAGGTTACA